CTCTCTCCGTACAGAGGGATAGCGTTATAATAAATCCATGTTTTGAAACACTTAGGCCCACTGATAAGTGATCCAGAATTACGGTATCCTTAAGAGGATTTTTCATTTCATCTCTGCCCTAAAGACAATGTACAGTAAATAAGACTGCACACAGATAGCTCTTCAACTAATACCATCTGGTCCATGCACTAAATGAAGCTGGTTATAGGCTGGAGAGAGACACTAAACTACGACTCGCTGTCTGCAAGAGCTGGTTTCGAAGCCGTCCCAGGTCTCCCGGATGCCTGGCACGTACCACTGCCTGCATCGCTGCCTGCTTTGGGACGGAGCTCACGAGAAATTACTTGGACTTCATCTTGCAATTCTCACAATCTATTGTTGGCAGTGGAGACAGGGAACATTTGTGCAAATTCATGTTATCTGGCCTCCTCTAGACTTATTATCTCAACACTCCCAATAAGGTACCGTTGGCTCCTTCCCTTAGATGGAATGAGGCACGGGGAATTGGTTTGCCCGAGATTACTGTGGAAATCAGTAAAGAGACCTAACCTGCCTGTCCTCCAAACGCTGGGGGAGTGCTGAAGTTGCTCACTCGTTCTTCCTCCAAACTTGAAAGCTCACAAAATTCATTCCTTCATATTGTAAACACATTTGACACTGTGCCTTCAAAAAGGAACTAATTTTGATTCTGTATGGTTTTGCTGTAGAACACCTGTAACCAAGGCCAGAGACACTGTCCTTCCTCTCTCTAAAACGACACCTGCGTTTGCAGTTTTCCTGGAGGTTTTCACATGGAATTATTTAATGAAGCGTTTTACTTTTCCTCAAGATTATAACTCTCTAGCAGATACTGCCTTCTAGTGGGCACACTCTCACTAATAGAAGGAACACTACCCAGATTAATTATTCAGTTACCTTTAATGTACAAGTTCAGATGTTAGGACTTTAATGAGCCACATGCTGTTTTGAAATGTGGTTATTACACAAGACACTGAGGCTTTGTTTACAATTAAGAAAATTAATAGGATACACAAATCCCTTCCTGAGCTTTAAGCCTCACTGTGTTTTGAAAAGACCTGATGCTCGCTGAGATTTTTTTTTACTCCAATGTAGAGTTAATGAAATTAGGTCATTGGGAAAATACAGCATGGGAATAGAGACTTTACATCATATGAGCACTCCGAGATAAGAATGGTTAAGCAGGTATTGTCTCTCTGAAAAATGCACATGTATTAATAGAAAGTGTTCTCTTATGCCATTTTGCCACACACCTGACATTTTTATTTATGAAGCTCTTGTAGTTAGATACATATGTAAAAATGTCTTCAGTTTACAAAGCTGTAGAGTATGCAATCCCTGCTCAAGAGATTAAATCCTCTTCGAAATAGCAACTGGAGAAGTGACGGAGTTAAGTGTTTCTCAAGGCTCAGATTCATAGGTGTTAATACCACAAGTCTGGATGGAAGGCCCGTGACCCTTTCATGCAAGTCCCTGTACAGATATGGAAAATGCAGCAAAATAATCTATCCTTTTAAGGGCAAAATGGGGAAAACGGGCAAGGAGCTACCTGAAAAGCGGAGGCGAAAGAGATGAGACAAATTACTTAAGGCTTCACAGCATATCAGTGGCTGAGCCAGGCCTTAGATTTAAATCTTTCTTAAGCCACCTGCAAAAAACACTTGAGACGGACTATGTAGCACTTGCCTTTCTCCCAAAACAGGTAGGCAGGCAGGTGTACTTGCAAAATCAGAATCTGCTCCTTCACATCTGAATCCCCTTAAGAGTTTAGATCAGAAAAAAACCCACGTGCTGCATAGTCTGCTTGTCTTCAGTAAAAGGTACCCCAAATTTTGATGCAGCATAGCGTTCCATTATATGTAGGTGTCAAGTGGAGAAATGTTTGTCCAAATGCTATCGCACGGCACGTAGGAATATCATCAGCTCAGGCTAGGTGGATTACTGACAAAGACCTGTCTGGTATTCTGCCAGCTGACATTTCCAGTTGCTCGGGCTCAAAGTAATTCACCTGCAGGGTACCTCAGTTTCTACGTACAACATTCCTCCTCAGTCCAATTCCTCCTTCTCTAAGAATATGGGTTTCCCAAAGGATAAAAGTTTCTGATTCCCACACAGCTCTAATAAATGTTTCACTGATTTCTGTTGCAGACGTGTTTGGTTTTGAAGACCAGCTCCATGTCTCTTTAAAGCATATTAGGGAAGCTTTTTGCATTCTAACCTGCATCACCACACTGGAGGAAGTCACTGAATTCAGCTGTTCTCTACCCACTGACATAGAAATAGCAGTTCCTTAGGAGCAACACAGGAAGGTGTCTAGGAACTTTTTGTTGGTTCGTTTATTTTTACATGCACTTTGAGAAGTCAGGAGGCCAAGGATATCCAGGACAGACGTTGTGTAGTTTGGGGAAATTAAAGCACCTGATAACACAAAGGAAAAAGAGACCAACGTCAAGACATGAAGCTAGCTGCTAGTTTCCAGGCATTTAAGACTCCATGTGTGAAGACTGTGTGTGGTGAAGTGTCCACCATGGTCTGAGCTCTGACATATGACACATTCCAGTGGCAATAACAAAGGAGCGTTCGTTAGCTTCCCAAGAGGCTGCTCAACAGCAGAGCAGCAATTCATTTAGCTTGCCAACTGCTATAAAACAGGAGAAGTTTTGTATCATACAAGTGCCCAATTAAGTTAGACTGTTAGACTGTAAGAGGCTGAACCTCAGTCAAATCCTCTCTTCAAGACATGTTCACTCTAAAAAGTATTCTTTAGAGCTAGAAGGCAATAAAAAAAAAATCAAAGAAAGAGCACTGCAATAGTTAAATATCTAAGGCCCAAAAGTGCAAATGTCATTGATCTTTGCAAACAGATTGATTCTGCAAGGATTTTGTTCACTCGTGAAGTACCAGAAAGACGACCCTTCAAGGCTCATCACCAGATCTTTTAGGAAGAAGTACGTGAATTTCTTCCTGGCTCTACAGAGCAGTAAATTTTTAATGCACATGACTGGTCACCAAAGGTAAAACAACCTGAGTGCTTGCTTGCCTAAATTCATGCTGAGAAACATGAGTACAGGACCTCAGTCATGTTACTATCGTTTAAAAAAATACCTAGTGCCAACAACTGAAAGAGTGATTGTTAATGAATGTTAATGTGATATAAGGGGAGAAAAAACAAACCAAAACCTTATGCTATTTTGAATAAAGCCAGCCTCCTGCTATTGACAGACAAAGCATAAATCAGACCAAATCTTCTTAAAAAATTAATGGGACTGCAAATGTTAAAATTAATGACAAATGCAATCGACATTTATTAGAACGGATATCATTGGAATCGCCAACAAGTCAGGCAAAAAATTTAATCAGGTTCTTATCAGAGGGTTACAAATAGATGTGTCATTTTAATGAATTCGACAAGTGTACCATGCAACTGAGAACCGGGTGCATCTTAAAAGACAATTAACTGTAGATCTTTGAACAAGATTCACTGCTCTGGAAATTCTTTGCAAGTCCTTTTTCCAAATTATTAGTGTTGTCCTGTCGTATGAGAAGGTACAGAATTGTGCTCTTCTTCATGAGTAGCCCCAATTCTTACCTTTTTAACTGAACATTTTAATAAAAGAATGTATTCAGAACCAGTACAGAATCCATAAGCAAGAGCTCTTCAATTCTTTGACTGTTGCAGGTGGCAGTGGAGGAGATGATTAGGGTACCTTTGATAATACGGTTTTAAATGTTCTTAATTTTGTTTTTATACAAGTTCTTCACATTAACATTGGTTTTCTTTCAGGTCAGAACCACTTTTAAATAAAAATCAAGAGAGCCATTTAAGACTTTACTACTGAGCAACTGCAGAAGTGAATATGACCATGAAGTTTCAATTGCTTCACAGAGATCCCAGACATGCTCAAGGCCTTCCCCCCAACACCCCCACTAAAGACACTGTTTGGGACCCGAGGTGATTGACAAGCTAGATTGTTAGTGCCACTCATTAGCAAGAAATGTACTAAATTGAAGCCTTTGAAGGAAAGGTCTGTCGCTTGCACAATAAAGCTCTTGTTTAAATTCCATTTTGAGCACTTCTAGAACAACAGGTAGCAGTAAACAATATTTAGCAGAATGACACCATCTGCCTTTTTTTTCCTCACCATCTTTCCAGTGTTTGAAGCAAGGATTTGGCTATAAATACTGACAATTGGCACTATAAATTATGATTTTCTGCTCTCTGAATAGTCAGGAGCAAAACCAAATAAAGTGCAGATTTAAACCTCAGTTTTCACACATTATTGAGCTTGTGCGATGTGTTTCCAGATTAACCCGCTCCTGCCTCATGTTCATGGGAGGGGATATGGACACTGCTGAAGTACATTTACTGAGGTTTGCAATTGGTTCTGCTTTCGGTTGGGCCACCTGGAACTAGGGATAGGGTTCTGCTTCGTGGAGATAACAACGAGATGAATGGCTGAAGAAGAGGAGCAGGACAAACCAGTCACCTTTGCGTCTTTATTTGGAGGCCTTTTATGTCCCAGTGCTGTTCCTTCTAAGGCTTGGACGAGCAGAAGTGTCCTGTTCTTCCAAACACTGTGAAATTTATAGGAGCTCTGTGTTCTTCCAGTGATACACGACAACAAGCAGAAGGGAAATTTCTACCGCCTTTACAAATTTGTAGCCTCGTTGATCCAGTGTGTT